GAGGGGGGGTCGCAATACCTACAGGTGTATGTTAAACACATTCTATGAATAACACGACAGTAGCATAATATATGCAGTTACATGTTAAGATATATTACATGGTACGGTAAAGCTGACGTCCAATATGTTAAGATATATTACATGGTACGGTAAAGCTGACGTATAACATGTTAAAACATATTACATGGTGAACGGTAAATTTGATGACTTGGTGAGGTAAATAATATCACATCATTCTTTACAATCAAATAACGTCATACTTTTATCTGGCAGCTGCCATTTCATCGCCCAAACCCTGAGAGACAGCATTGGTATTATTTCTTGGAAAGATATGCGAGAAAAACGTGCATTCATACATTTTATTTTTATATCTACCATATTGGTTATGAATTGGGAGTAAAATCATCGAGTGTTATTCTAATTTGTTACACTCACCACGCATCGGTGGACATTATCTGCCTTAAATACAACATGCTTAATTCTATCGGAGATGCATGAAAAGAAGCTCTACATAAACTAAATGCGTATCAACTTAACTTAAGAGGTCACCAAAAGTCAACATGATGATAATCTGTTGGATGAAATTAGGATGGAAGTGAATTAGACATGTCTCCAGAGCACACCCAGACTCCATCCCTAGGGTAGCAAGGAGATGGACACCACCACGAAAAAGAAAGATAGGAAGACCAAAGGAACCCTGGAGACTGTCTGTTGAGAAAGAACTAAAAGATAAAGACTGGACATGGGGACAAATACACCAGTTATCCAAAGACAGACAGAAATGGAAATCTCTGGTGGTGGCCTTATGTGCACCCCAGCACGAAGGGGCTAACTAACTAACGAAATAAAGAGAAATGTCTGTAAAACGACTGAAACTATACAGAACGGGGGACTAATTTTTAAAATACAAGAAAATCACAATTAATTCGAATTAATTTGATTTTCAATGTTTCCTGTTTCATGTCAAAATGAAGCTACTAAACTAATTTTGTTTTGAACTAGATTGGATTAATATTTTCGTTTTGTGAAAATTCCTTTGTATTCTTGGGTAAAAATGAAGGTCATACTACTCAATTTCTGCATAACGTGTTATCGTAACTTGTATAGGTACAATCAGTTGTGTGTGGCTTAAGGTCGTCTTGATAGTAGCTCAATTATGTTTCAGCTTCATAAAAATACTAATACCAATGACCCTCCCCAGACAGATGGCGGTGTTTCACTGAACAAACACAAGATAAATACATCATTTGAACTTATTATTGAATAAGAGAATTGGAATGTTCTGATATATTCCAAAAATTGGTAAATGTAAGAATCTATCTGCTTTCAATTGACAATCATATATAGGAATTATGAGTGCATATTGGCCCAAGGCAAATACATGTTACAACATTCATTAAATTTGTCAGAATAAGCATTCATATCGCTTATGAATACTAGCTGAAAGCAGTTCATTGTTTTAATTTATCTCTAGTAGCCCCTCACAGACATTAAATGAACCTTAAATGAGGCCCACTAATAAAGTAATTATTTGCATACCTACTACACACTGGTGACACGTGGGACATCACTGGTAGTGGTGTACCTACTACACACTGGTGTGACACGTGGGACATCACTGATAGTGGTGCATCCTAGCAGCATATGATAGAGACGGATTGCGTAAGGTTTCCCTCAACAGGTTTCAGAACATGGCCTGGGCATATTTCAAAAGAACTGATAACAGACACCAACACTGCTTTTCTTCGAATACGAACAATTATCGGTGAATTAGACAACAAAAAATTATTTCGATTTATAGTCGCTATATTATATTTCTGAATTTAATCAGGTTCAATCGGTGTGGAGGAAAATGAAAAAAATCGGACATTGAAACAACATTCTGTACCAAGTTCAATCTGCTATGCCAATCTCGAAATGAAGTCGACAGCTTCAGTCGATCGGGAGTCATTGAGGCCATATTATTGATCATGCGAGATATCTTCATAATAAGTAACATAGCTTCAACACCGCTTACGCCAAAATTTTGCACTTTAGTCTTTGAAGCTACGATAAATCAGATTTGAAGCTACGATATATCAGATTTGAAGCTACGATAAATCAGATTTGAAGCTACGATAAATCAGACGAAAGTCATTGCAAGAACACGCCGATATTCCCAGCTCGGTAGACAAGTCACGGAGACATCGTCAGTTATAGTTTACCATTATAGGGAAGAGAAAAACCGACTTTTTATATCTTCTGAACCGAGTCAGTCAAGTGTAAACAGTAGGTGACATCAACATTAGTAGCCTCTCATTGATGCAAGTATTATCCGGATAGCATCTATTGTTACTCAGATAAGGTCGAAAGTGTTCTTAATCAAGTAAGTGAAGCATTAATGTTGGTCAAACAAAGCAATGTGGGGGATCACGTGACCTTTAATGATTTCAGTACATTCTCAAATTGTGGTGTTTTTACAAATATTTAGGTTTGTCCGTGGATATAATTGAGACAGGCTAAGAGTTGTGCACGAATGTTTGTGAAATCCATTCAATTTCTACCAAATGGTTTTCCGCAATGGGTAGGTTATGCATTATTACATGAAAGAATGCAGTTTGTCAGTTTATCTTAAAATGTGCCTCGATGTACAGCTTTTTCCGGTGTACCGACTCATCAGAGGTCACGTGATTCCCCACAGGTAGAGCAATCCGAGCTGCAACTGAAGAACACGTAGCACTTGTATACAATGACCCGACTTCTGAACCCGATACATTAATCTAAACCACTTATTCTTATCAAAGTCACAGAAGCTTAAACTTTAGGTCAAATTCAGCAACAAGGCTTCGGTTGAGCAACACTTTCTGCATCATTGATGCAACTTCTTAAATGATGCACTTACAGTTACTCTGAACAATTCATCCTACCAAGCTGCGTGGACAAACGAAAGGACGGACAAAGACTCTATACCCCTGCCTACTTCGTTAAGTGGGTGATACAAATAAATAACAAGAGAGAAAGTAAGCTGGCACATATTACATTTTATTCCTGTGAGGGATAACAAGTTTGTCTATGGGGTTAATATGATACCACATAAAACGGTATGGATTCATGATAATGTCGACATTCATTTACTTGATTTTAGTCAAGTATCCGTAATAATGTTAAGACATGTGTGATAGATATATACACTGTATAATGGCATACAGCTAGCTCACACTTCTCATCGTGTGAGCTGATTGCAAATATGAAAGATTAAATTTCAAAATAAATAAAATATGCTGGTCGTACAATCACAACATTGCAGATTGTTTCACAAATGTTCAAGTGCAAGCCATTTGTCTGCTTAAAGCACATATATTGGTCTGTATAAAATGTCACATTACAGCTACAAGAAATGTGTGAAGACTGAATGCCCACAGCTTGTTATAAGGAGTAAAGATAAGTAACCAACATGACATGTCACAATCTTTAACCCCAGCCAATTTACAGTCAAGACATGGTGTAGGGGTAGTCTACTACAATCACAAGACATGGTGTAGGGGTAGTCTACTACAATCACAAGACTTTCTACAATGCACTACATACAACACTGGGAATGGATCACATACTACAACTACAGACTTGTGTATTAGCTTTATGGTGTCAAAGGTCATGAATCTTTAACTTTAAATTAGGTGTCCATTTCCTGCTTGAGCTCCTATGTAAAGCTTCAAAATGAACGCAGGTGCACCAATCTAGACGCATCAATGGAAAAGAAATTGACATATCGCTCAGAAAAGTTTGATTTTACTATGTAATATCAATAAAGATAACCGATTCATTTAAAATGAAACTCAAAACTATGGAACTAATCAAAGCAGACGTTTATTTTTCATCTAGATAATTAGCTGCTAAGTAATGTATCCCTTTTGTATTCACAACACTAGCATTTTTTTGTGAAAGTGATTCCACATCTTTTCATTAGATCAATAGTTTTCTTCTATTTCTTTGCTATTGTCTCATAAATTAGTAAAACTTTCTTTAGTTACTTGCTAAATTACCTAAACTACTTAAAACTTTTCTCCATTAAATGCCATTTTTTCCTACACTAAATTTGTACACACTTGCACTCCAATTTAAGTACACTAATAATTATTAGCCTTCCTTCGATTTCTTGCTATTATATACTTCACTAATACTTTCAGTTACTTCCTGATATTTCCTCCACTAAAAGCGTTTTTGTTAGTTACTTTACTATCCTTTACTACACTAATTATAACGACTTCTTCAGTCACTTTCTATTATTTACAAAAAGTTTCAAAAAATGCTTTAATCAAATATTTTTATCTTCCTTTCTTGCAAGGTTTCTTAAGGCCAGACTGTTCCAACAATTATGAAACGTTAAAGCATTTTATTAATTCTATCCAGGGCTTACTGGTGACCAACAATTAACTCATTCACCCCTGAAGACACATTTGAACTCTTCCAATTCAAATGTTGGAATAGTTCATTATGAAATTTCAGGGGTGAATGAGTTAAGATCATGTCCACCAGCATATACTATAATGGTTTAAGTTTTAATAGGACCAAAAGACTTGATTCAATCATTAATAAGTGGCAGTTAGCTGGAAATGAAAGCTTCTATAATTGTATTAAGCCCATACCAAATACATTTTGCATCGCAGAGCATTTTCACTACAAACCCATGAATATTTTCTCATTAGCAAATCTAAACCCTCAAAATCCATCATGCATATATGTGCTGGGCTTTTAAAACCTTCAAGTTTGTGTGAAAAATAAGTACAGAAATGATTCATTGCTAAAAATATTTGTCACTCATTTAGTTTCAATTAAAAAGCTGACTATTTGAATCATTTCAATGACAAATTAATTTTGTATGGTTCTTGAAAAGACATTTTTTTCTGCTTTTGGCAGGACAGGTGAAAGCCTGATACAGAAAACAAAATAATTATTTACATTATTAAGCAATTCCCCTCTAGCCTCCTTACCACTGGTAATATTACAATGAAACATGATCACTTTGATTAACTCATTCACCCCTGAAGACACATTTGAGCTCTTCCAGTTCAAAGGTTGGAATAGTTCATAATGAAATTTCAGGGGTCAACGAGTTAAAGACAATTATGATTTCATATAAAGTCATCATCATTAAACAAAACACAAAAATAGCTTCCTCTAAGACGTCATGTTGGTAAATATTTGTAAAGAAAACAATAGCACAAATTGACAAGAAACATTGTATGCAAGTTCTACAACACTTAATATTACTGAGCAACATATAGCGTTCAACATAACATCTTTGAGCATAATGTTGTCATGATAACCTGTACATAAAAGGTCCTTTCTTAGTGATTTTTATGAAATATTTTTGATGCAAAGGTTAAATCTGTGTAAAATTTGGCAAATACAAAACTTGAATTCATTCAGAAGTATTTTTTCCCCCAAATATCTCTAGATGAAAACATTGCTAAAGACAATGAAGAAAACACAACATTTGCAATGCAAGTAAAGGGTTGAAAAAATTACAAATGACATAGTGGATCAAAACACAATAATATAAATTATTTTATTTTTCAACGATATAAGGAAACCATAATATAAAGTATCTTGCTATCAATGAGCCAGTAACACAAATCTTTCCACTTCAAATGACATAGAAATTTATTTGAAAATCTTGATCAATTGACTCCATGCACCTGAACTTCAACCATTTTTGACCTTTTTTTTTAATAATTTCCCATTTGGATGTTAATTTACATGACTATATAGATGTATTTGATTTTCAATGACAACCTCTGTAGTTTTTTGACCATTTCTTATCTGAGCTTCATACATACATTTATATCCTGAGCAAATGTTGATGTTCATAATAGAAGCAGATACACAAGGCCACTTGATTTTTACTTATGACACCATGGAACTTAAACCAGGGCACTGTGTTATTATATAAAATAGAGCTATAGTAATATTTACATTATCTTGTAACATTTTAGATGATTACTGATAAAAATTTATTTCATGAAAATGGCAGTACATATAAATTAACTAATTAACAATGAACAAAAGTTTACTTGTTTAAATTTAAATTTTTTATAATATGAGAGATTTCTAGTAGTCTTCTCATCATACCAGCTATCAAACAACAAAAAATACATATTAAAAACAACTATATCAATGAAATGAACGATAATGAAACGAAATTTAGATATGAAATCCTTTACCCTTATATAGATGCAAAGGAACATGTAAGTGCTGATCTTGTCGTACTGGTCCGATGCTGGTAAAACCCATTTGTTTTAAAATGAAGATTAATAATAGCTGTTGGAATATTACATGTATTACGTCCTTTGTACAGCAATGTTGTAAGAATTTCACCCGACACCAAGAAGGTGGAGATAATTCTGCGTGACCAATCAAAATCAATCTACAGGGAGTGCCTTGGTAACGGGTCTGGTGACAATGTGCAACAGACACTTGATTCAGGTGAGATGGACACCAAAACATTGTTTGATGGCAACATCCCAAAAGAGTTATTATTATTGTCTAAGTTTCATGGCAGCAGTTTACTTATTGAGCATCAGATGATATTAAAATTGTATTCTGACAGTGATCAACCATCATAAACTTGCGCTATATGCTTTAAAAATCAACTGATATACATGCACTTTTGAATGTTGGTTCCAGACATTCCAAGCAAATGAAACTGGGTAATTGAGGGGCTTATGTCATTGCAAAATATTTCTATGCAATCTCGCAAATTTTTTAGATTTTTGGTTCATTCCAAATACAGACTATTTGAGGTATTGATTATTAATTTCCAAATAATTTCAAGTATCAGTTAATATCAGACACTTAATCATTTTCAATGTGGAACTTGACAAATGTGTGATATTAACCCTGATAATCGTAATCTGTATACATATATCAATTAAGATACTTAGAAAGCTAAAAAATACTGCACAAGAATGTAAAATGAAATTCAGATTCTTGATATATATAATATTAACCCAGAATTTGCTGCAAACCAAATGACATTATGTCCAAATCATGATTGTTACTAAGAACTTGCTTTGCTTGAATCTATTACACACTTCGTAAGAAACAGATGACAGACAATTAGCCTTGTTGAGAGTGAAAGATGACACAAAATTTGATTGCTAGCCCATACACCTTATCAGGACAAAGCAATTTATTTTTGTTTGAGTGTGAGAATAACTATCATTGATAATTAGCACATGTATCACATATTCACATCCTGGGATTATCTCTGTATACATGTATGTATATTATATGCATCATTACAAAAAATGTTTTAAAACTACTTTATACCCCAATCCTATTGCATTTTCAGTTTGCAGTAAATGTCTGTTTTAAAATGTGACTGATCCTAACTGTGAATGATTTAAATGCCTACATTAAGCATATTGTGTTTTTTAAATCATGTTATACTAGTAACTATCAGTAATGATGCTGTTTGACAGAAGTATATCAGCCACTGCTGACTGCGAATATATGGTTAAAAATGCTGAAATTCTGTGATAAAATTATTGAAATACTGTGTTACTGATAAAAATGATGTGCAGTTAACATCTAAGAATACAAAACATACACAGTCTCCGAACAAAAACAAAAAGTCTGCTTGCCATCCGATTGTTTTTGAAGCTTTGCACGAATTGTTTTTAAGATGATGACTGTATATTGTTTATGTAACGGATACATTACACAGAAGATTGAATACGAAACCAGAACAGAGACATTTCCATTCCATCCGCCTACGTCTCATCTTTAAGACCATCTCCCTTAAGGAGTTCAAACAAAAGGCCACAGGAGGTGAATTCTGGCGGCATGACAGTGTTGAGAATCTCCTTGCCAATCATACTGACGCGCGAAATCTCCGGGAGTCGGAGTAGCATTTCACCGAATTTGTTGTTGTGTTGTGGGTAATGAGAGTTGGTGTACAGACCCAGGGCTTCACAGATCGAATCCTGGTGTTCCTGGGCTTTTCCTGGCTCCTTCAGGCCCTTCACATCTGGAAACAGAGATAATAAATATATATCAAAATGGAATATGGCAGTGTGGAAATTTGTCAAAGTTTGATAACAATAAATTCAACAAGAGTACCGCGGGGCGGAATAATATACGCCCGTCAAATGCCATATAGTGTTACATACTTTCTTACATTGAAATAAGATCTGCATCATCCTAAGAGTGGTTAGCTGATATGCTATAAAAAATGTAGGAGAAAATCTCTGGACAAAAAATCAAATACTGAAATGAAAGAAGGGGGGTTTCTTTTGGAAAAATTGTTGAATCAAAATTCTTTTAAGGGAGACACAACTTCATATTATAATTATAATGTATACCAAGTTTCAAAGAGATCCGTTGAAAAATTTAGGAGGAGTTTGCCAGACAAAAATCAAATACTGAAATAAACAAAGGGCAATTACTTTTGCAAAAATTGTCCAAACAATTTTTTTTCAAGGAAACACAACATATCATGATTATTTAGCCTAATAAGTTTCAAAGAAATTCGTCAAAAAATATAGGAGGAACTCTCTGGACAAAAATTCAAATATTGAAATGAACAAAGGGCAATTACTTTTGGAAAAATTGTCGAATCAAAATTCTTTTAAGGGAGACACAACTTCATATCATGATTATAATGTATACCAAGTTTCAAAGAGAACGGTCGAAAAATGTAGGAGGAGATTGCCGGACAAACAAAAGTTTACGCCGGACGGACAAACCCATACCATATTAAATACTCCCGTCAAATTTGACGGGTGTATAAAAATAACTTGCTAGAGTGTTGAAAAATGGGATTTAAATGGTAATAATAACTGTTACCTTGGTACCCTGAAACACTAAGCCAGTAATTGTTTTGGGTATTATCATACCTGATCAAAGTATAAATTTTGATCCAAATTTATCAACAACAAAAAAAAGTTGTTTGAGTGATTAAAAAGTATGTAAAAATAGGTGCTGTAGGGAATATAGTGAAATTGCATTAGAGGAAATAGAGGGAACTAAAGCAATATTTATGTATAAAACCTAGGCATCAGTGAAGTTGCATTAGAGGAAATAGAGGGAACTAAAGCATTAGTTATGTATAAACCCTAGGCATCAGTGAAGTTGCATTAGAGGAAATAGAGGGAACTAAAGCATTATTTATGTATAAAACCTAGGCATCAGTGAAGTTGCATTAGAGGAAATAGAGGGAACTAAAGCATTATTTATGTATAAAACCTAAGCATCAGTGAAGTAAAGGAAGCACAGAGTGTTTATTTTTTTATTTTTTTATGCTTAATTAGTTTGACATATATATATACCTGGTGTGATGAGCATGAGAACCTTCAAGGCTACAAACTCGTACTGGTCCACCTGTAGTCGGCGCAGCTGATCTGTGATGGCCAGGAGCCGGGACACAATATCGTCGGCACCATGCCCCAGTTTGGTGGCTTTCTCCATGTCAATGGACTTGCCCATCGGTAGGAATATCTCCGTCGTGCTCTGTATAGATCTCATACAACAGTTGAACAGCAGCAGGTCCGCCCAACAGTTCTGCAGCAATAAAATCTGGTCGTCCGTCTGTGGATGGAGTAGACTGGTGTTAATAGATAATACACTGTGAAAATTTACATGTTTGAATGTATGAAAATATTGATTACCAGGTATTAAATACATACATATACTACAATGTACTGTATATTCATGTCAGTAAGCTTTATTATGTTATCAATAATAGGCAGCCAATTAAAATAACTGTTCTGCTTCCGATTTTGGCTCTCAAAAAATTAAGGGCCAGTATATAGGAAAAACTTTTACTTTCGGCATTGTACAATTCTGTGGTACCGTGGTAACGGTTCTTGTCTAAAATTGACCAAAACAACATCAGGATATACATAGGTACCAAAATGTAAGGTACATGTGGGTAAGAAACAAAGATGGGTTTTTTTGCCTTAATTGTGAACTTCAAATACAATTTCTTCAACACAAATAGAATACATTGGTTTGGAACAACTGAGCAAGCTGGAAAACAGAATTTAATAATTTATACCAAACAAATTAATCCTCCAACTACTGTATACTGCGTAGGTTTCACTGCTGTTTAATATAATGTTGGCAAATTATAATTATCCTGATAGCGAATCTTACTTCATCATACGTACACTATATACAGTGTATATAGTCATTGCAAGTAAAGGGTGAAATATAAACACTGGGCGAATATGGATTTCTATGGTGAAAGGCAAAAGTATCACTGGGCGAACGTTTTCCGGTATACAGTGTGTATTGTGGCAGCTGTCAGACTTCAATCAAGTTGTGTTATGGAATGTTTCCCTTGGTTCAGTTGTATTGTTCTTTAAAAGTGTAATTAAACAAAGGTGTCTTAATTCGAAGATGAAATTGTTATACATAAGTATCACTACACTACCTCTTGCTCATAATCATTATGTTTGTAATGCTGCAGTACGTATACACAACTTATAATATCCTGGCTCACTATGTGTATAGAAACTGTTACATGCTTATATATAATTAATAGGTGAGATATCTTCAAGTATACACATCTATGCACACACACATTAATACTCTGAACAGCAAACAGAGGTATTCCTGTACTTACCGCTATCGCACTGAACTGAGGCAGGTTACGGGCCCAGCGAACTAGCTTGTACAATCGAAGCTCTGCGAGTTGTAGCAAAGACAACATAAACGTTGGGTCATTTTCTGACAAACGATCTGCTGGAAAATCTGCTTGGTTTTCATCATCACATAAATAGGATTCAACATTCATAATTTCTGTCAATAAATGGGGAACAAATGGCTTAACAGTTTCTTCTGGCACAGACTTCCCGTTCCGATTAAGAATCGCCATTAGCTGACTCCCAGAGATATCTTCACCAGTGGGTAAAGTCACATGTACATTTTCTAATGATTGGTTCCCTTGATTGGCACTTGGTGCTACCTTTCGATGAGAACTTGGTGTGCGCCTTTGAGGTTTGGGGATAGAGGTAAGCTCTAAGGGGTAGACTTTTGGTCGTCCGTGTGGTGAACAGCCATCATAACTGCTCCTTCCTCCCCTCATCCTGTCATGTCTGATGGCTGAAACAACATAACAATACTCTTTATCTTGAGAATATAATAGAGGCAAGTAATTTAGGGTATATACATGTAGGTTGACTGAACTAAGATGCAAATTAAACAAATGAATGAGACATGAGCTATGACACATACACTGTAGTTCATACATATACAAATCAATTTTTTTAAAGATAATTATAAATTGTTCACAACACTTTGTGATCCAGTCTTAAACAGAATAGAAATACACATTTTTAAATGAGATACATGTTAATCTGGTATATAATACAAAAAAATAACCCCCCTTATTTTGCCAAATATATGGTATAAATAAATATTTCAACTTCTGATGTTGTGGAGCAATGCTGGACACCTGAGACAAAGTATTGAAAAGAATGTAATTCAATAATGGGCCATCACAAGTTGGCCGCCAAATTCAAGTGGCCACATGTACAGCTGTTTATAGGCAATTAACCTGCAGTACAGCTTCTGCTCTAGATCTCAAGTCCATAACTTTAATTTTACTGTTTATATATCATCATATTAACAGCTTTGATTTCAAGCATACAGAAATTAAACAGCCGTGTCCACTTAAACTGTTTGATGTCATGCATGTGATCAACATGACCGTCAAAGAAAGATAGTATTTAAATGTTTACTGATCAAAAACTGACAAATTTGTTTTTCACACTTAAACATATAATTAAAAGTCAGAAAATATGTTAATACACTTCCCTATACAAATAGTACATGTATTAACTATCATAGATCATATTTATTTAGTTTAGCTAATTAAAATAAAACAAGAATTACATGTAATTATATTTAGATGTCTCGCCTGTCCCCCCTTTGATCAATAGATTCAATGTTTATTTAGTCCAACCCAAACTTTTTGAAATACAGCATGAAACACACAGCTAAACGCAAAAACTTAACATTGATGAACATGCTGTGAAATTCACTGGACCGCAAAATATAGAGCACATTCAGTATATGATGCATGGTTTGAGATGCACTTTGTCTGAAACAACTACAGTCTAAGTTTATTTAGTGCAACTTTTTGAGATGTATACAGCATGAAACACTGTACAGCTAAAGGCAAAATTTAACATTGATGAAGATGCTGTCAAAGTCACTGGACCGTGAAATATAGGGCACATTTAGCAACTGATGCATGGATTGAGGTGAAGTAAATAAGATGCATGAATGGTCCAAGTTTGGACCATTCATGCACTTATACTTTTTGAGAAACAGAGCTAAATGCAAAAGATTAACATTGACGCCGCCGTTGTCGCCATCGAAAAAGTAATACCTTAGTCCCGTCACCTCGTCATCCGTCGCAGGCGAGACAAAAAAGTAATTTTCATTTTACTGTTTCTATATATAACATCTCATTTAATTATCATTCAAAACGAATTTCAAACATTTAAGTTCGTGTCAAAAATATCAATATCAGAACTGTTTTACTTACCTTCAAGTTTCATACCGTGGATGATACACTTTGCAAACCGACACGCTGGGCATTTCTTTCTACTCAGTTTTGTTATTTCACAATCCCCTTTTCGATGACAAGCAAATGTTTTCTTATTTTGTACAGTTCTTTTGAAAAATCCTTTACAGCTTTCACATGTGAATATCCCATAATGATAGCCTGCCAAACAGAATGGTTGGATAACATTCATTACAATGGACTTGCATATTAACATAGCACAGTTGTACATTGTATATATCAATGCAATAGCTATAGGAGTTTATATATATACAGTCCCAGGACTTGAAATTAATTTTGAAAACCACTGGCCATGGTCAGCCAGCTGGCTAGCATCTTTCAATTTTGCTAGTCCATATGCAAATATCACTTACCGAATACATGTATTATTCAACATGATAAGTAAAATCAAATTTTGACTAGTCTATGATCTGGCTAGCAGATTTCAGAACCATGAGCTAGTCCAGCTGGAGATTTCACTAGTCATGGGATGGGCTATGATATCCTTATGGTCTAGCCCTGATGTCAGTTTCAGTTTAAGTTACATCTCCAAATCTTCTCAAAGGTACACATAAATGTTCCCAATTATACCAAAAGAAATAATGTGATCAAGCTTAAGGTGATGATACTGATAACCTGTTTATGCAGAGAGAAAAAAAGAAGTTAAATTTTTAATTTGTTTGTGATCAAAATCAAAATGTGAAACATATTGCTGGTAATTAATAAATTTTCATTAAAACATGACTTAAAAATGTAATTAGGTCCTTCAAATCTCACCAGTCCATGCGAAATATGCCGGTCCGACAGACTTGTCTGGTAAAAAAAATCCGGCAAACCACTGCCAAAACCAAATCCAGTTAATTATATTCATAATGTTTACATTTAATTAAATTATTGTACATATCAAACAATTTTTGTAATTTTATTTTTCATTTTTCTTTGGACTAGTAAGTTTTTCAAGCTAACCTGACCGAAATGTCCTGTAAAAAGTTGTTTCGGTCCGGCAAGCTTGGGATAGTTAAATTACCCGACTGAATGTCCTGTAAGAAAACTTGTAATTTGCATGGACAGCTGTCTCACCTGAAATTGCGTCCCCACATATTGGACATGGTCCCATGGATGGGTCGGGAGGGAGACCTGAATCCCTTGGCATGGAGGACATCACTTCCACAGAGTTCTCATTAACTACCGTAAAACTGCCATCCTCTGAATAGCGGAACTGCTTAGGAGGTGAACTCTGATCAAGACCAATACTGCTGGGTTTGTCTGTACCAGTATTGGGCATGTAGAATCGCTGGCCATCCTGCTCTATCACCATGCCAACTGGCTGGCCTCCAGCATCCGACACCACCACATCATTAATGGGTGATGGCACATTCACCTGGCCATTACTGTCCTGATAACAAATTATCATTTGTTTCTCCTGCTCTAGAGTATCAGGATCCTTAGTCTGCACTTGTGCAATGTCACCTGTTTGGGGCACAGTCTCTTGTTGAAGGTCGTCTCCCTTCTCTTTTTCCACACCACCTGTTTTCAGGTGGTGAGATGCAAGAGCTGATAACACATTGACCATACCCATACTGAGGTCCCCGCCAGAGTTTGAGGTAATGATGATGGTTTCACGGCCAGGCACATTTTCCTGGTCCTGCAGTCTGGTCTCTTCTTGAACCTGATTTACAGCACTGTTTAAGGCATTCTGTTGGTGCAGTTGGTCAATTTTCCATTTCAACATGCTCTTAATGTTTTCTGATGAGATGTTAATGCTACCTGGAGAGAAAACTTGGCCAGAACTTTCAGTAAGGTTTTCCATATCGGTTGACATAGATCTGGAATGTAGTCGTGACTGGTCAGAGATGGGCTCATTCATACCCTGCAATATGTGATTAACAGCAGCATGACCTCCAGCAGCCTGAAGGTCGTCCATCATCTCCTGTTTGACGTTGATGGTCGGCTGCATGCTGACCGTGTGGCGGTCCTTTGTGGAGGTGAGGGTCTGTGAGATGGCCTGGAGGAGCACTGGAGAAATGGTCACCTCATTAAGCCCACTCATGTCTGTAAAGTAAAAGGCTGACATTACTGAAAAGGTATGTTATTATTGTTATTTACAGCATTTGGATGTAAAACCTGGCAAAGGCTATTACCAATACTAGCTCTCATCCCTCCCAAATTGTTAATTCTGGAACAGCCCTAATGGACCTGTAAGATGCACCTTACCAACACAGCAGTTCATTATTTAAAATATGAATTATTGTAAAAAAGCAAAGCTAACTTTTAGTACAAAGGATAGTAAAATATATAGCAATATTAAGATAAAACTTATCGAGAAAACTATTTCCTTTAGAGAAGTATATAAGTAGTACCATATATATATATATACATGATCCATTTGAATTTAAAAGATTGAGAGTTACCCCCCTTTTATATTATACAGATTAATATCTAATATCTGTTCACAACAAATGTAGAAGTCGTAGGTAGTTCTAATATGCACTGATGATCTGAATGACATGAACTTGCATAAATTACTAATAATTAATCCAGGTTGTCAGGCCCAATTCATGAAGAGGTGGCCGTGCAGCTGTTTTGGTACTTCATTCAAGTCATTTTGGTACAAAGGTGATTTGGTATTTTGATATTTTATAAGATATTCTGCATGTTGTTGCTGATTTTGTGTGTAGGTTTATATGTATATGCTGATAAGCTGAGATTCTTCAGCATTTCTCATACTATTCTCATTCTATTCAAACGTACCAAAACTGAAACAACTAGAATTCAATAATATTAACCTGTAAATGCCATCTCATGCAAGGGAGGATGTTATCGACAGGGGAGTATTATCGACCCCCGGTTCTATTCATCTCGTTTTGGATCGATTACAAACTGTTTTTCTATCAAGACAATCAGTGGTTTTGGTAGGTACACTTAACTTTTAGGAATCCCTCGATCGGAACCGTTCTATTCAGACAACACTGGTTTAACAAATTTTCTGAACATTTTTTTTTCCAAAGAGAAGAGTTCACATTAATCCTCTTTTTAGACCTCCCTTATATGGGCACTGATAAGATATGTATGTCACTTCGAGTTTTGATAACATTTTTATCTGAAATAATTTCCACATAATGGTGTAATCCAACTTCACTCATGAAGCATCTGCAACATTTGTCAGCGTCCTATCAACATCCAGGGTATTGTTAAGGTTGGAAATAGGCCTAGGGTTGTCGATAACTGTCGCAATTTGAGTATCAGAGGTAGTTCTCGACAGCATGAAAAATTACTATCCGTTAAAAACATATTTTTTATGAATGACTTGTACTGCAAAGTTGTTAAAGTCTATCTAGTCACAGACATACCTTTTTGCAAGTATAAATAAAATACAATGTACTTAAAAATCCAAAGTTCTCAATAAAATCTAAGTAGATTATAAGTCTTGCAAATGTGCTCAATCAATATAAACTGCCAAATAAAAATTGAGAAAATATCATTATTGGAAGATAATGCAGCCAGCTATAATTATATATAGAATATATATATATAGAATATATATCTAAAAGTAAACAATTAAATAGAAATAATGTGGATGAAAATTGTTTTGTTAAGCAGGAGGTAAATATATACACTTGTAACTAATTATCTTGTGAACATAAAATTAAAGAATTCAAAAACATTTCCACAATGATTATTTTAAGTAGATTAAATTATGTTTTCTTTAATAAAGTTTCTATTCTGTATCATTATAGGATATAAAATACCTCATAATTCAAAATATCTGGGCTGTTGGAATGCATCACTTGGGATCAAAAGAATTGGAAATTTTGGTGGGACACCATATATTGCAGGGAGGGAACCAGAAAATATATTTGATCAAAATGCTGGGACGCTGAATGTTTTAAATTTGTGAATGCGTGCAAAAAAGGGAGCACGTTTGTTTGCATATATGACTTGACACATCACTTGACATGTTTATTCTTTTTCTAAGCATTTGGACACACGCAAGAAAAAATGAATGTATTATGAGAGATAAATAATAGAAATAATTAACATTTTAAATTAGCTGACGATAACTACCTCCACTTGTCGATAACTGCCTGTCATTAACGCCACCAAAACAATTGTAGCGGAACTGGACTGGGTCGATCGTTGGCGACCAGTTAGCTCAATTGATTGAGCGTCAGTCTAGAGTTTGGAAGGTCCTGGGTTCGAACCCCAGTCTGGCCGTGCATTTTTCCTCTCCTGTTACATTCGGCGCCCAACGAAATATACACACAGAAGGTGGTATAGGGTCTTGTGTGTCTTCAGGGTCGAAGACTTTGTTAAAGGAGGGAGGAATGCAGCAGAACTGGACTGGGTCGATCGTCAGCAACCAGATCTAGATAGCTCAATTGGTTGAGCGTCCGTCTAGAGTTCGGAAGGTCCCGGGTTCGAACCCCGGTCTGGCCGTGCATTTTTCCTCTCCTGTTACACAATGAATTCTCCCGCGATTCGTCACATGTACACTTTTTAATTTGCAGATGATGTCTGTTTGTTCATGTCGTACCTGTACCTGTGTTTAGAGTTTAAATGTTTTTCAGTGTCTTAGTCTTTTTTACTAGTTAGGCCAAAAAAAATATATAGTCTGTTTAGGGTTGCATGGGCAAAAAAACTAGGGTAGGTAGGTCAATTTTTTGGGGTTTTTTTGGGGGGTTTTTTTGTGTATATTTTTGGTCATGTGATTATGACCCTACTATTGTATGTTAAACAAAGAATTACATAAACAAGGTTCTTTGAAGGCGAATTGTGCTCGATATGATGACATTTAGCGCCAACACGGAGCTGGAAGCCATTTTGAAAATTCGAAAATTAGCGGGTTTTTTTATATAAAAAAAATCCATCAAAAAGTTTTGGGTCTGGAGTTAAAAGCTAGGGTTGGTCGGGAACCCTTAACACAGACACCTTTTTTTGCCTTACCTGATTTATTTACTTATTAACCTAATCTGTTTAGCTTAACTTCTGCTTTGCATGGCATTTTTATATACCAATAACTGGCAGCATAGTTACTAGCCCCCTTTTCTAATCATCATTATATAGCTCAATATGTTTTTACTTACTCTAGACCTTGTTGTCTTATTTTAATTTGCACTATATTAGTGCATATTATGTCAATTTTTCATCTTTTGCTATATTAGCATGTATACATGTACATTACACTTGAAGTGTTTTAACCCTCATATTATATAGCAACACCTGTGTGATATGCAGGTGTTCACTATTATCTCATTACATTATTTTTAGTGTAGTACTTTAAATTTAGTGCCTGTGATATCTAATTATATGCTGCTATGTTATTGTATGTCTTACTCGCTGATTATGTGCTAGCTTCCTGTGATAGTGTATACATAGCTTGTTTGTTGTTTTCTGTTTGCTTTTTATCATGTTTGTCACCAAAATAGCGCTGTTTGATATTCAGTATGCGACGATAAATAAAGTTTCTTGTATGAAATAGAGTATGTTTCCAGACTTCTCCGAAATGCCATATAATAACTTACGCAAAACGGTAAACTGGCAAAGAAGTTTGAAGCTTAGACTGTCAATAACTGCCTCTATTGCTCTAGGGAACGTGAATTCAGCACATAGCCAAAAAAAATATATGTATACATGTAGGTCTACAGTGTACAAAAGTATGTTTAAATTTATGTTTTAAATATTTACAATATCAAATTTTATTTTAAAATAAATTTGTCGACAAAAATCTTTGGAACTTCCTGGGATATCCTTGTAATTGTTATACAGAAAAGTAATAGTCATCTGTTCATCGTAAACTAAATTTAAATTGAACAAAGTTGTCCCAGCAATAATATATATATATACTTATAATTACATAATAAACAGTAAAATAACAGTTAATTAAATATTAATGTAAACATAATAGGGTATATATGCTTAATAAAATACGCAAATGTGCTTGTATGCATTGCGATATTTAAGAAGGGACGGTTATACACGGACTGCGGGTGTTTGTTTTCGTTACAAGGCCGAATACTGGCATCGCTGTCAAGGTCGGAATACAGGTCTGTGTCCAAACTGACCACTGGAGCACCCGGGCACTTGATTTCATGTGTGCATCACATCTCAACACAAATTTATATTCAATTAATTAAACCTTACCTAAACAACTCTTATTGGACACCTAAAAGTAGTTTTCCGTGTCAGTGTGTGATCAGGGCAGACAAAAATAGACCCTCCCATGTTGTGGTGTCGGAATATAAGCGCGCACATGTAGCCTTTGTTTGAAAACAAAGCGGTAGTAGATGTCAACATCTTCAAAATAGGCAACATGATTATCCGTTAATCAAGAAGAAAGCATTACATACTGATTAAGATGTCCCAGTAAATGTCCCGCGATATTTACTCATATGGCTAGTTAGTTTTCAGATGGCTTCTAGGTACCCGTGCTTGGTTTCGATGCTCTTCGGCCATGACCTTGCACCCTCTGAAACGTCCTTCACTGATTCCTTCAGTTCTCCACGCCCCTCTCGTTTGGCAACAAATTCAACACTGTTTTAATGAAATACTTACCACAGTCAAAGGATATTTCCAATTTTTTCTAGCCTGGGTTGTCAGATTTTCACAATGGCGGCCATTTATGTGTATTTGCACGCCGTATGACTGAAATCAATTTTTACGTAGAGAGTATTACTCCGCGAAGTATGTACATTTTATTAAAACAGCGAGTTGCCTCCCCTCCTACGTTATTTGACAGGTGCGCGAGGATAATTGAAAATCAAATAACGCTGAAAATTATTGGGGTTTTATTTAAATAATGAAAAAGGTAGCAGATTTTGTTTGTAACTTGAAAAGTCGGGTTCTTAATCTACCCACGCATGGATTTTATTCAAACTTTGCAATTTGAATGTTCATGTGAAATCACTTCAGAAACCGATATTATTATTTTTAAAGTTTGTAGAGAAAATTCAGAAAGGGCCTGTATTGGTTTTCCCCTAAAATTAAGGGTTACCCCAATATTTTGATGTCATATAAGTACACACAATCAGGATTGATTTTTGTAGATGTTTCAAATCCGCATGATTTTGGGAACACTAAGCATTCCATTAATGTGTATTTTGTATGTTTTAAGTCAGTGATATAACAATCAACTGGCTTACCATGACCACACTCCATTAAAAATATCCACCCACAAAAAAATACACTTGAACATTCAAAGTCTATTTTTTACAGGGTTTCTTAGATGTATCATCTACGTAAGTCTTTAAAATCGTTTTAGGGTATTGTTAATTTACATCAGTGATTTTTTTTAAATTTAAATTAAGAGCCGGGAACATAGTCCACCAGCCTGTCTTATACCTACCCAACTAACACAGACTGATTGAAAGTGTACCTAGAGGACATCCTTGAAGGCAGCTACTTTTTGATGCCATGTTATATATACCCCAGTATTTACCCTCCACTCTAGTATATATACAAAAATCTCGTTGGCTGAAGACATAACAACACCCTTTGCTCACTATACACATTTGCTGTCTGGCTGCCTTGTAAGTTATCCTTCCAACTTGGCCTGTCTTGCTAATTTCATTTATTTTTTATTTGTTATTGTCTTATGACTACACTCTCCTTTCATCTTCATACATTTTTTTTATATTGTCATACACTATACAGTCTCTTATACTTTACAACTATAAAATTCTTTTCTGTTCAACACCTGTAAACAGTATGTCTAGAACTGGTTTAGGGTTAGGCTGCAAGAAACGTATCAGAGATTGTGGAAACTCAAGAAACTATTGGAAACCTGTTTGCTATTTATCCTATCAATGACTTGCAGCATGCTTATTGTAAAGGTTGTGAGACTTCTATAGTCAACAGGCGCGTAGCTGGGCTCTTTTGGATGTGCATGCAGAAAGTCGCACCGAAGGCGCGAAGCTATTCTAGGGGGGTACGGGGGCATTGCCCCCCCCCCCCCCCCCCCCCCCCCCCCCCTGGATTTTAAATATAGAAGCTCTGTCGTGCCATCTGGTGGCTTTTAATATACATATTGTAGTGTTTTAATTTATTTTACAGACAACAATATTTGGTTGATTCATCACTTTATTATTGGAAAGCATCGCAAAAATTCAAATGTATTTCAAATGCGAAAGACAGCTCTCCTTTTTTTCTCCGACAAAAATGTGTCGATTGTTGGAATTACCCGAAAATATCCGTTGCTTCATATCGCTTTCCTGATGAATCTAAGTTAACTAGATATTTAAAAAGTCGGAGCCAATATAAACAGATTAATTTCAGATTTTTTGCCCTTGTGTCCCCCAAACCCTTTTTATATCATCAACATTTCTCAGAACATAAGATGACGGTACCTCCTATATCGATGTTTAGATATATGTATACATATATATCCAGTAGCTCTACTGAAGATAGGTCTAGGACTACTCCGAAAACATACTTTATCAGTTCATGACAGGGACAAATGAAGGGCAGGCCTATATAATGTCACAGATTAGCAAAAGCTACATGTACGTGGCTTTTTTTCTGACTTTTGAGGCTTTGCCTTTTTTCATATTACATTTGCAGGCGAAGTGAATGTAAAACTCAGATGGATCCTATACGTGCACATATCCGCCCTAAAACCCAGGAATTAATTGCGGTGTTGCCCAAAATTTTAAACTCAGAAGACTCAAAAAAAATAATAAATCATAATTGTCATGTCGGTTGTACATGTATACTACTTTCTGGCACCAAACAATATGTAGAACTTCATTATTTCTGAAATTGTGACAATTATGATTTCCCTGCCGAGCAGAGCGAGGCGAATTCTTTTTTCTGAAGATGTAATACTAAACTTGTTCAAGCACTGTCAAGCGTAAAAAGCTAGAATTTATCGGACATTATTTCCATTGTAAAACAGATCGAATAAGGCATAGAATAGTTTTATGAGTTTGCGGTATTATTCTAGATTATATTTTATAACATAGAGTATTTATATTATATATATATATACACGCCAGGCTTTTATGCTAACATTGGTTATTATTCACCTGATAACGTGATGCTAGGGTGGATGCTTTACTGTCTTTGACATTTTTGAAATTTACATTTTTTAACAGGTATAATAAATCACTCCTGGGGATCATGTGTACATGAAACCACAGGTGAAAATACAGGTTTATCTATCATGAAATGGACTCTACCTTTGAAATAACAAGTAACATATATACCTAATTCCAACAGATGGATTTATCCTCTCTCCACGAACAGGGTGATCACCACACCGTGACATTGGAACAATAGAATCTTAATCTTCGTACGACTCTTTTGTGGTATTTTTTGGCCAAACTGAAGACAAACATATCATGGCCTCAGCTTGGAGCACTGTGTGGACTGACAAAAACTGATGTTTCTAAGATTTTTCATATGGTGAAATCTGCTCTGACAGAGACAATTATACAATAATATATAGGCCCAGAACACATCAGCCGTGAAATGGCTATCGCTCACAACACTGTACTCACAGAAGCCTTTTATGGTAATACAGTCACTGTAATTTTGAATGTTACCTTTTATTTATATCCAAAAAAGTTCAGATCACCAACTCCAGAGGTCATCCTACTGTGGACAGGAGAAAAGGAATTACCTTAAGTTTATGAGTATTGTTCTTCCAGATGGATATATGTTCTTGATACTATTGGTCCTTTCTATGGCAACGAGAACGATGCTAAGATAACCCGCAATATCTTTGGTTATGTAGGAAAACTGAAAAACTGAAGCAATGGTTTGATGATGATGATCGTTTCATTGTTGATAGGGGTTTCAAAGATGTCCTTGACCTTTTCATATCATATGGGCCCATATTCATGAAAGCGATCTAATGCTCAAGCATGGATTGTGTGGTCAAGCCTAATTTCTTGGTCCAGTTATAAATTAATAAACAACTCTTATTTTGTCAATGATTTGGAGAGAAAAAAATTAAGAGACTTAAAGCCAAATACTATTTTCAATTTTCACATTTGACTTTTTGATCGTTTGAGATTATTTAAGCGAGTTACAAGAATAGTAGGTTTGAGCACAGAATCCTTGCTTGAGCATGAGAACATTTTCATGAATACGGGCCCAGTAATCCAGTAATGCCCTCTTATTTGAAACCAGGTGAAACTCAACATGGATGTCTGAGTGCTAATGCAGACAGTCACTGTACTAAAACTAGGTAGATGATTGAAAGTTACCATGGTCGTTTAAAGCAGTGGCGATTTTCAAGGAGAAAATGACCTATTACTATTTCAATTAAATTACATCAGAAATAGTGAGAATATTGACTGCTTACTTGAATGGTATCCGTGGTCCAATTTATGTAAGAAGTGCTGAGCGTGACGAAAAAAATCGTCGTCTGGTTGAAAAAATGAAAAGCAAAATGAGAGTTGCACAGAGGGTAAAGGATGAGCCAGAGCTTCTGAAAGGCTCATTGGCAGAAATTAGATGGGGTGTCCATTCCATTTCCTGACCTTAATTCAGAGTATTTGGAAACCATCATCTGTGGCATGTATACCAGCTCCAGCAAGCAGCAGAATATACAGCGGAACATTTTACTTTCTCAGGTGACTTTGAGGTTTGGGTGCATCAACATTCAACTGGTTTGCTCAGGGGTCAGATTCGTTCTAGACATACATCACAAACAAAAGACAATGTCTGGATTCAGTATAATGTTGCAGATTCCACGGATCCTATCAAAGACTATTATTGTACTTGCCCCACTGGTAAGCGAACTGTTGGAAGGTGTGCACATACTGCTTGTATATTATACTTTCTGGGAAATGCTTCAAAGCAAACTTTGTAAGAACTATTCTGTAAACGTGTGTCTTATGTTAAGAAGTCAGTGGTTTGCTGATGTGGGGTATCATCTGCGATAGGCCAGTTGGTAGAGAGTCCAACCTATGTATTTTGAAGGTCTTTGGGGAGGTGTCCTAGTCTATGTAGTGCGCTGATCATTTATATATTGCCCCCCCTCCCCTCCCGCCATTAGCTATGGGACGATAGGTGATTGATACAGAAAGTATGGAAATAAACCAAACACTGATTGTTTTCTGCCAAAATGCAATACAAGTAGTAGGCAAATAAAGGTAGTGTAACAAAATCTGTTTATGTGCCCCCCCCCCTCAACAGAAAAAAATGATGAAAAATTTGGTATCGTTTTTACTGCTAGCATGTCTGTAATCAATATAAGAAATTTTCATGGAATAAAAATTACAGTAAGAAAAATGTTATGAAGATTCAAAAGGAAGTAACATACATACATTTGACAAAATGCATGTCAGGCCCTATGGGACTTTTCTTTTTGGCATGATATCGAATAAAACATATTTTTTGTTTCTGTTCAGCCATGGTATGATTAAAGTACTTGTAAAGTTTCATGAAAATCCGTGCGTGAGCAGGGTCTATGGGAAATTTAACATAGGCAAGAACCCCACCTTTGAAATCCTTTCCGTTTAGGTTTATAGGGAATAAAAACACCAAAAGTTTTATAATATTACAAAAAAATACTGTGTTCATTTGAGTCGGAAAATAACAGTGCAAGTTTAATCTTATCATTATATTTAAATTGACGAGTTTTTGGATGTCGATTGCCCTCGTTGGGATGCTGCTTTAGGTCTAACTGTTTACCCACATGTTTGTATATGTATATATACCAATATCATTTCGAAACAGTTATTTTTCAACTCTTTCTCTGTCTTTCATAACATCTCTCTCGCCCCTGTTTTTGTCACTGTAACTCTTCTTTCTATTAGTTTTTTATCAATTGCATGTTGAATTGTCCTTCGAAAATATGTCTTTGGCGCGTTATCAATTAGACTTGGTCTTAGATAAAAACTATCTAAATCCGTGGTATAACAGAATTAAATGTAATTAAAATAAAGAGTAATTATGTTAACATGCAATAATAATAAACAACATTTGATATAGCGCCCTATCTAGCTAACATAAGCCACTCTAAAGCGCTTTACAGTACATAGATATACAATTAATACAATTAGCATATACATTAATTGAGGAATTCGCAGGAGCTGCCTTATCAGGCGCTAACTACTGGTCCTATGCCACCTGGCTAATATCTCTCTATGTGTGTATGCCTGCGTGTGTGCTGGATATGTGATGTGTACTGTGGAGCGAGTGTTGTTTTTGATTCCATAGGTTCAGTCGATTTGAATAATATAGGAGCAATTCAATTGAATATGTCTTTAATTGAATTCATCCTTTTTCATATGATGGAAAATAAATACAAATACAATAATAAAATATATCTTGAAATCAACATGTATAAGAGGTGTTTAATTCAATTGAGGGTGTAAATTATTTGAAGAAATGTGCATTTATTATGACATGTTCGTGTAATTTGACGTTCCCTAAACCTGCACAGGTAAGGAGAATAGTTTCAAGCACATATGCGTAGATCAATAATATTTTAATACATCTTTGTATTCAAAGAATTAACTAAAGTGTTCTTGGAAATTTATACAGCCGATCCCGGTGTTCTTGCCACTCTGGTAATCTTAGACGCGCAAGATTACCGGCAAGCAGTGAACGAAATTAGCTAGTACACTAATTCGTTGTGTACCTACGATCGCCAGTTATAAATCAATGGACTTAAAAGTCCAGCGTTCAAGCGATTATTGAAAGGTCAAGTGGCGATAGTTGGTCTAGCTAGATGACATGTAAGTATTAATATTGACTACTGATTGTTTAGAGCTTACCTTGATTAATTCCTTATTAAAGTTAATTGGTCTACGTACCGTAATCCCTCCCAGGTGATACCGTGCGTCCTGTCAAACTTGTCCTGTACCCAGAGCTCGTACCCCGGTCATGCATGAATATTTTACTGCCGTGGTATCATGTCTCCAACGCTTTGTGATACCCGGGGTTAGTGACATTGTCAAGTTCACGTCAAGGACATTGTAACCGACCTTCAAAGTGTGGACGGCGCCGTCACCAAGGGCATGCTTTCTGTTCGGCTTTTATATGAACAATTAACATACAATTTAGTATACAGGATTCTTATCGAAAGCAGCGTGTATGTCGGGGCATTATTTTTCTGTCAATATTTTAAGGGCCCTGTTTAACTCGGGTCGATTTTAAGCATACATGTATATACTATTTATGCCATATTTTAAAAAGTGTAATTGATTTTCGCGAAATCCCTATCTCTCTTTAAATCCAAACTTAGCAATTTTGTAAACGAGACGGTAACAATAAGTTTACATTATTGTTATCATTTAAAAAGGAGGATTTCAATTTATAAATTATAATGCTGTAATGATTACAACCCACATAAATAGCTAGAATATATAGCAATTATTTCACGTTATTTGATATGGCGATTTTAATTCCTACATACTGATATATTCACGAGCTAATTATGAAATAAATCAATTCGCAATAATGAATGTGTTCCTTATGAATTCCAGCAAGTTTCCTAAAATATTTCATCACGGTAAGCTTTAATGAGCTTTTTATTAAATTAGTCCATATATGTTATGTTTTAATATAAGCTTTATTTCATTTCTTTTTTTGTTCATTTACAGTATGATATAAAGCAATACACAATTGTTGAAATTGGATTTGGAAACAAGTTTTACAACTGATGTAGACTCATTTCCAGCGGGGGAAATACATATATGAGATTTGAAGACCATATGTTTTATGACTATAATATTTGAGAAAGAAATATGCAGAAATGCGTTGAGTATATGAGTAAAAAATGGAAAAAGGGGAGGGTAGGATAAGAAAGAGGGGAAAGAGAATTGCTCAGATTAAACCTGTATTTAATGATTGTAAACAGCTAAGTACATCAAGAATGCCACCTTAAACGACAGGTATATATGGAAAGTTGAAACAGAAGAAAAACTCATTCAAATCTTCGAGAGCTGATAATGAAATTTTAAGCACAGGAGAAAAGCATTTTCCCTATCTGACAACTCATCATCGCCAAACAGCAGTAAGTTACTTGAAATGCACGATTTACAGATGTATCTCAGTGAAGACACTTACACGGAAAAAGGCGGCAGTGTAACAAATAATGTTCATTTGTCTCGTTATTTTCCATTCATAACAAAGAGGACTATCAACAAGCTTTTTACGATACAAGTAAAATTTTAGGGAACTGCACCCCATTCTAAGTCTAGCTTGGTGGATCTGACCCAGCCTACTACCGATAAAGTAGAAAGATGGGACTTTGTGGGATGGTTCATACAGGTATTTTTTTATCTAGATATAGAGAGGTCACCTTTTACTGAGTCTGGCAAGGAGTTTCAAATATCAATTACGGAAGGTAGGAAAGACTTCCTGTATAGACTAGTACGACATAAGATAGGACAAACAATTTTTGCCTTCACGGGTATTGTAGTCGTGAATGTTTGCTTTTGTTTTTTATTAGCCAAAAGTCCTTAGGCTTATAGGTACATACATAAATACATATAACATTCTCTAAACATAATTAGAATAGACAGGAGAGTGACATCACAGTATACATAAAACACCGTTCAATAATGTGCATATAAGTTATAATTCACACGTAGATACTCGCAGACCGAGCGATAAGCTCTAGGGATAGTGTGTGGGCCTGTGAGCGTCTGCACATATAACTACATACTGATCATAAACCGCTGGAATGTATTTATTCTGCTACGTCTGTTGTGAAGGCGAGTGTTCGCATACACCGATGGGTACTTAGACTCCATCCCTACTGTTACACTGTGAAGTACATACCTGGATCCAAAAAAATAGCTGATAGTTTGTCAAGGCTAATTGATAACAAGGGCAAGCGAGACAACTCGTTGGACCTTAAGGACAACTTCACATCGGGCGACGAAGAATATGTGAGATTTGTGGCTCAGACCGCAACGCCAAGAGCACTGACTACTCGCGAGATAGAGGAGGCTTCCGCAGTAGATCCGGAAATAATCGACCTGAGAAAGTGTATACGAAATAACCAGTGGCACAAGTTGGAGAACAAACACTATCTACCTGTCAAAGATGAGCTATGTGTCATAGGACGGCTCATGCTGCGCGGTACCAGAATTTTACTTCCTACAAGTCTGTGTGTAGGGTCTTTGAGATCGCACATGAGGAACACCCGGGCATATAGTTTGTATGAAACGACGTCACCGTACCAATGTATGGTGGATAGGAATAGACAGAGATGTAGACAAATTTTGCAAAACAGGTCATGCATGTCTAATAGTGGGTATGCCACAAGCACTCGAACCGATGAAATCGACAGAATTGCCTACCGGTCCATGGCAACACTTGTTTGCAGATCTCATGTCTCTCCCATTAGTCTACATCAGGAGATTATCTTTTTGTGGTTGTTGACTATTATAGTCGGTATTATGAACTTCACACCATGAGGACCACAACTACAGATCGAATAATCCGGAGTTTGAAACAAATGTTCATGACACATGGACTACTGGTTTCCATAACAACAGATAATGGGCCACAGATTATCAGTGAATGATTTGCTGATTTCCTTTCAGAACAGGGTGTCGAGCACAGAAAAGTCACGCCCCTATGGCCCCAGGCCGATGGAGTGGTGGAGAGGCTAATTCGATCTCTATTGTAAGGGTCAGGACTGCCCGGGCCAGATAGAGAAGAGAGACTGGAGGGATGAGATCAACAAATATATATGTTACAGGACAACACCTCATTCCGTAACAGGGGTGAGCCCAGCTGAACTACTATTCAAACGTAGATTGAGGACACGTTTACCGGGAATTGAGGAGTATCCAGGAGATGCTATTCATGTTCGCGGATGTGCCGTTAGATGAGCTGTCGTCTAACACACCAGAACGGTTCAACACTGGTATTTCTGATACTGTTTCTATCTCTCCCTGTTTGTCGTTGTGATTCCCCTTTCCACTGTCTCTCCCTGTTTGTCGTTGTGATTCCCCTTTCCGCTGTCTCTCCCTGTTTGTCGTTGTGATTCTCCTTTCCGCTGTCTCTCCCTGTTTGTCGTCGTGATTCCCCTTTCCGCTGTCTCTCCCTGTTTGTCGTTGTGATTCTCCTTTCCGCTGTCTCTCCCTGTTTGTCGTTGTGATTCTCCTTTCCGCTGTCTCTCCCTGTTTGTCGTTGTGATTCTCCTTTCCGCTGTCTCTCCCTGTTTGTCGTTGTGATTCTCCTTTCCGCTGTCTCTCCCTGTTTGTCGTTGTGATTCTCCTTTCCGCTGTCTCTCCCTGTTTGTCGTTGTGATTCTCCTTTCCGCTGTCTCTCCCTGTTTGTCGTCGTGATTCCCCTTTCCGCTGTCTCTCCCTGTTTGTCGTCGTGATTCCCCTTTCCGGAATATTTTGTTTTGTCGCTGTTCATGATTAGGATGTCTTTTATTTGTTTCCTGTTTTCCGTAATTATCTGTTGCTGAATACTGTTCGTGCAAATAATTGTTTGGTATGTTTGAAACCTGATGAGGAAAGCGAAAACGAAATTTGAAGTCCAATAGCAACCAACTGCATTTGAGTTTAACATCAACCAACGGGCGCCAGAGACATCGATGCCATACGCTGAACACCTGGGGCAACGCGGGTGAACGAGTTTTTCTCAATGGCGGAGTATTTGACAACAGATACAAGTACAAGTACACTCTGGTGTTTGAGGTAAGCAGGGATGTGGAGGAAGGAAGTACGATATCGACATCTCGCTCTCAGTCAGCTTTTTGCCAGGACTCATCGACGCTGTTACACCCAAAATGTCCTCGACCGACCCCGTCGTATCAGAAGAGGACACATGTCAGAGTCGGCGACATAATTAACGAAAGGCCACTTCAGTTCATTATTTTTCCAACATTTTCGAATCCCGGGCTATATGTTCCACCATAATATACAAGCATATGTGTATTGTATTTATCATACCAAGTAAACTGTAATTCACCGAAGTTTTTGTACGACTGGTGAATGTCAACAACTCGCCTTGGTCAGGGATGTGTATCCCTGCCTTGGTAAAATGTAAGGTCTGAAATCTCCAAAAGTTAAATTTTCAGGACAGACGATAAACAATAAAATCTGGCGTCATACTTTATTCAAGATATTTAATTATTTCAATCAATCAAAAGCATCAATATTTTGACATTGCTCATCAAAACATCAACACAAGACGAACGAGCGAGATTTGAGCAAATTATTCAATGCTTTTGATTGATTGAAATTTACATCTTTAACAAAGTATAACGTCAGGGTTGATTGATTTCGTCTGTCCTGAAAATGTAACTTTTGAAGATTTCAGACCTTAGCAACGATCGAAAATGAAATATTACCACATCTCGTCTTTTCGTCCCGAAACAGCAAGATGGCACAAATCAGCTATGCACCGAACAAACTCTTCTGCTATAGCTGTCTAGTCGTGGCGGAGTTACCTCCCTTATATTGATACTGTGTTTGTATGCTTTTTGCAAGTTTAAATTGTGCATAGAATGTTCGTTATATAAATCACAGTCTAAAACAAAAAAACTCACGATAGAACATCTATGGCAGGCTTAAACATATACAATACCAACCATTGAGACATTATATAATGTCATATCCCATATTCAGCGTAATAGAGATACAGCTGTATTTCAAATTAATCAAAGACAAGTTCTATCTACAATCCTATAGATGAATCAAAGATATCGCTAAACAAACTGACGATATTTTGAAATGTAATATAGATATTTGAAAAATCGATTAAACGATATATTTAAATGCAATAAAGATATATATGATATTATAAGGATTATATCAGATATTTTAAATGTTTCTTCGCTATCTTATACATTCATACAACCATGTTTCCATTATTTTAGGAGAGCTATTATAGTACTCNCAGCAGGCGCCATAAAAGGAAGAGGAAGGGAGATCACTCCGTGGCTCTGTCATCGAGATAGAGGTTACGTCACGGTAGGGAGGTAGGGATATTTGAATCTTTTGTTTTTGGGCTACAAAGATGGGTGTAGGTATTGTATATGCATACTAAAGTTATGGTAATTATTACTGAAATGAAAACCGCCTTTGTGTATTAAGTGTGAAATAGGCTCCCCATAGACACCAACGCGTACATCTTGATTCTACAATATGACGCTGTATCTATATGATAACATATTCATTCATCAATAATCCGATCCAACCTTCTCAGTTCAGTGTCTGAACATTGAATCCCTAGGGTTGCTGGTGGTACCTGTTTTGGTCCTTTTACGGTGTCGCTACGCTGCTGGATTAAAGTAATTAACGACAGGTACTGACTTGTGGTGTTTTAACGTCAACTGTATGATGTCACACACCGAGATTCAACTTAAAAGGCATCATTATAGATCGATGAGCCGTCTATAAACGCATTGATTTTATTCAAAGTATAAATATTACGTATAAAATATCGATATGTGCATACTCCACGTAAGAATTCCGGCTAACAACCGTCGCTAAGTGTTTATATGAAAAATAAACAGTATTTCTTGCTGTCTTTCCGGCAATAACGAACGTGACCTAAATAAATACTTTATGACATCCTAACGTTTACACTGTTTTCACACATAACCATCAGCCATTAATTCGTGTATACGTAGACAATAGCTGTGATGTATATTGTATGTGCTGTCAACGAATCGATACTGACAAAACAACATTGAAGTTATTTGAGCGATTGATTCTTAGCCATTTACATGTACCTCTTTATATATGAAGCGTGTTAAGCGTCTCATTGACATTTTTTCTTTTCTTTGTGGCACCAAAATCAATCGCGTGGCAATTGTTTGGTCATAATACCATCACAGATTTAAATATATATATATATATCTAATTTAATTCCGAGGCACTGTGATCACCTTTTCCATTTGTTAGGTTCACATTGTGAGCATGCGAAGTAAGTATTAAAACACGAAAAGGGTATTGATGTCCATCACCATTACATTATTAATAATGATGGACGCATTATGTTAATAATTATGTTAATTGTTTGGTTTCAGAGACGTATATCACAGAGCCTGGCTACTCGCGCAGATCTCGCAAAAACACGCATGATCATATTGTTCGGGCAGCGGAAATTAGAATATATATTTATTGTAATAAACATGTCTCTGGTTTCTTCATTGTCCCCTTCAAAGAAGACAGAGGATTTTGCAGGGGGAGGGGGCACATCCAATAGGATACAGCAGGCATGTTCTCTCCTCGAACACGTAGCATTCTGATGGACCTACATTTTGCTTTATCATTTGGCGTGAATTGGATAAGCTCATTCAGTTAATATTGAAATATACATTATGTACTACTTAGTAATATCTGTGCGGAGAGTATTTTATGCATTGTCTCGGCAAGTTGAGTTTAAGCTAAGATATTTCACTCGAAGTGCGCTATAAATTTGACCGTTTTTCTCGTCAATATTGTCTTAAGGTAATAGGATTGTGTCGCCATTTCTCAGTAGAATTTATTAAAATTTTGTACTTGTATTACATTGAAGTAACGAATTTTTTTCTGCCACAAAATACATAGGTTGTTTGAATTTTAAATGGAAAATTTATGTAAAAAGGAGTGAATTTTGAAAAATGAAACACAATTTTTTGCAAAATAATGTCAATAAAAATGATACTGACATTTATTTTGGATATTTATGTGTGGAAAATCAGCATCTGTAAATACACGTTCAAAATAAACATGGGCATTTTGCTCAGTAAAAGCCATTTTGCCCATTTCTAAAAAATGAAGGTTTTTGCCACAACATTTTATCTGCATAAGATTTTCTAGGACTGCGTAAATATGTTAACTTAGGGTAGGAGCTAGACTGGCTATCGTCTCTAGAATATTGAATTATTAAGAAAAAAGTTTAACTCAAAAAATGCTTGGATGTCTGATCCTATAAGTTCTAAACTAGGGGGAGATAAGCTAGTAGTAAAATGCAGCTGAGAAATTCTTCACAAAAAGAAACTTGGGGCTGGTAGCCAGTCTAGGTAGGAGCGTTCTGCTCCCTTTCCTCAGCGTTCACTCAGCCATGCATGGCTAAGCACCATCAATTAGTTACGCATATTCGTGGGTATATATCTAACTATTCGTCGCCTTAAGCAAATAACCTAATCAACTATGACAAGAGTTTGCACACGGTTAATAGTTTGTTATCATACCATGATGTAAAAGAATCTTGTCGAAAAAAACAAATCACCAGACTCGTCTGTGTCCTGTATTACACTCTCAACCAGCTTCAGAAGATCTACCTTTGATACCGACCCGTAAACAATCCCTGTAAAGTGGATCATATACACACAAGCTCAGTTTTAGTCATGGTCTATCGGCGACCTACAAACATATAGCAATATATTGCAATATTTGACTGAATATTGTGTTTCATTATAAAATAACAAAATTACGTCACACTTCTATAACTTTTAATACAAAAACAAATGCCTTATCCTCACCAATAGGCCAATCCTACAATAATACACAATAATGACAATATACCTTACACTTATACCTTAGTTCACTATTGGCAAAGACCCGGATGACACTTTACGACAAATAATGCCGTAAAGTGGCCCGGTGTTGTAAACACTATCATGTGGTGTGACTACAGATATGTATTGCAATGTATTGTCGAGGATTAAATAGCCTCTGATGATATGTTTTGAATTACTGCAACTATTTTTTGTGTGTTAATATTTTAATAGATAATACACTGTATACTGTATTAATGTGTTTAAGCAAGTTTTGATCCAGGTTTAATTGTTTCGACAACATAATCTTTCTTAGCACCAAAAATTAATGTAGACAAAACCTGATACCCTTGCGGTATATTGTTATTTATTTTGCATACCGGTATATTGTATTGACTCTGCCATCCCACAATGTACTGATAAAACGGATATATTGCACACCCATATTCAAGACATTGATAGTCTGCCAATAAAAGACACATGGTAACTTGCACACGCTGATGAATACAGAATTAATGAGCAAGTACATATTCACCAACAGGCTACAATCTCCTCCACAGTACCAGACAAGGCAGACGTGGTGGTCGAATGTCTGTTTTGTCTAAAACAAGGTTAAAGTGTTAGACATCTGATTTCCAAACAAGACTATATCTATACACACATTGCAGGCATGATCTCGCTATTTCGAATGGCGGGGTTTTTACTGTTCGTCATTCAGTTATGGCGCTTTTTCGTCTTTTCATTAATTCCTTTTGTCATTTGGTTGTTTTCATTGGACGACAAAGCGAAATTGTGAAATGTCATACATTAGCCACTCTATATAACAGACAGAATTGATGTTACTTGGGGAGTGCCCAAATGTTAAACGTTAACTAGGCAAAGACAGGTAAATTTCGTTTCTCCCAAGCTTCAAAAGACTTTCAAAAGATAGAGGACGGTACAGAAATCTTTAAGGGTACACTTTGACAGATCATTTCACATAGAGAAATATGTAAATGCTGTTTCAAAATCCTGTAACTAGTAGGTAAGAAACATTGCAAGTGACCTACGGAATACGGTGTTTCCGAAATTAAAGCTAGCTGCTACTTTGTGGCATAGTATGCCATCTGCTACACTTAGGCATATACATGTAACCCTCGCCACATTCAGTAATGGTGTTGGAACTTACCCGTTTTTGTCTGCATTTGAGCCTTTTAGCGCAGATGCTTGTATTTCTTTATTTACGTTCATAGAAATGATGCTGGAAAGATGGAAATTCATTAAGTATCATTAACAGTCTTGTGAATATTAAGTCGTATTATGGTCACTCAAATAACAACGAATAGCATTCAAACTCTGTAGTGTAGATTTATATGCCTTAAACATGTACGTTAATATATCTCATGTAACTCTACATCATGTATTACAAATGTACTGTGAAGCGCTTTAGAGTAGTTTTAAAAACTATATAGGGCGCTAAAAAAATGTATTTTATCATTATTGTTTGTTGTAGTTACAACATCGCTGTTATATTGTTCGTGTTTTTTGAAGAAGCTCACTAGATTTCAAGTTCACGATTGTTTCACATTCACGATTACTTGAGTTTATTGATATGAAAGACACAAAATTATATTGTTAATTGTCGTCTGCCTTGAATTTGGAACTAGGTTCCTCCTTGCACTTATGGACCCTTTAATTGTATATCGCTTGAGGCCTAGGGGTAGGTTCTCTATCCCGCCTATGGTCTCTGGTGAGGAACTTCTTCTGGATGACTATTTTGAGTCCACCGAAGTTTGCCCTGGAGGGGAGTTTGGGAGACGAAAGGACCTGAACATTCTTCTGTTCAGGACTAAACGCTACGATGTCCTGATGTACAACGCCGGAGCTCTCTCCTCCAATGATCAGTATGGAACCGTTATGATGGACCAGTCCGAACCGTCGCCTACTGAAGGCACTAAGCGTCTCTATCGTCCGACACTTACCGTCCTCAGACATTTCTACAATACTGCCGTCCGTACACACGACATATAATTGTTTTTCTAACACAACAGCTTTCGCCATTTTGCACTTGGACGGCATTCCCGAAAGAAAACATGTCACACCGAGTCGCGTATCAAAACACTGGACTGCATCGGTTTCTTTATCATCAGGAAGGATTCCCCCAAAGACAAGGATCTTGTCCTTGGATACTGCTGCTGTCATGGATCTGACAGCTACTTGAAGACTTCCTATTGATGACCAGGAACGTGTTTGAATGTTGTACTCATCGACGGATGACAAAGTTCGATGTAGCTCCTCTTTAACATTGTCGTCATAGCCACCGATGACGTAGATGGACCCACCCACCGCAACCATGGCATGACGTCGCCGCCCCTGAATCAATGACGTGCATCGATACCAGTCATTATTTTCTGACCTGTAGCGGAGTAGTATGTCCAGCCGCTGAGAGCCTCCCGACACGAATATATCGTTTCCGTATGCACAGGTAGCAAACTCCCGACCCAAGACGATGGGCAGCTGCGTGAGCGTGCACCAGCGCTCCTGTTGGAAACTGTACGCTAGCAGGTCCGACACCTTGTCGCCTACAGCGTTGTATCCACCTATGATGACCAATACTTCTTCCAGGTTTGAAAACTGTCGGAAGGCAATCCGTGATGAATTAAACTCAGGCCGACGTGCCAAAAGCATTTGGTAACTGATGGCTTCTTTAACGATCTCCCTACAGCGAGGACTTTCCGCTACAATTTGCATTGGCTCAATTTCATGTAAGAGATACTCCGAGCCTAAGAGCGGAAGTCGGAGGTGCTCAAATAAACGAATTGTATCTTCCTTCCGTTCTTGGGGTTTGACGTTATACCATCGAAATACGGCATCGCATACAACCTCCTCGTTTGCCACCATTAAATGGTAGTCAGTTATGATCGAAATGATGTCGTCAACATCAAGCCACGTGAAGTCCTCAGACCGGCATATGTCATTGAAGTGTTCCATTATCAATGACCAGGCCTTCAGACACAGTTGCGGACAGTCATGTGACTTGGCCAGTTTCCATGCACCGATACAATTTTCAGCACATATTTTCTCCAAAAGGAATTGTTCACATTTGTCGTGGAGATATCGAACCTGGAATATCGCAGCTGCCTTAATCAGTTCCTGGGCATTTTCCACGGTTACTACTCTTTCTCCACAATAAACGAAGTCTAGGATGCGTTCGAAAATTTCTTTATCTATGTTGTGTAATGTTACAACCCCATCTAGCGATTCGCGCATTCCCGAGGAAAACATAGCGTCAAAATAAGGCGAGACAGCTGCTAGTACGGTCTTGTGACAATTAAATGTTTTATCTCCGACAATGATTTCAACGTCCGTGTGGCGTCCGTCTTTGTACATGCCCTCAAACGATTCGTGTATAAACACCGCAAGGTCATGTTTCCAGTTGGCAGGCATGTTGGCTCTGAAACATACAAAATATACATATGAGTCAACTTACATACGCAAGCTGAAAGAGTGTAATTGTTAGCTCAGCTGCATTGAAGAGCTAGGTGAACTGATGTTTATATATTTTAAATCAAGGAAGCAAATATTTAAAGTACAGTAAAACCTCGATTTAATACCCCTCGTTTCATTTGCCACCTCATTTACCGCCAATATATTTCAACGTCCATTTCTCTTGTTTTCCTAAGAATTCCTTTTTTATACTTCCCTCAATTTATCGCCAAACCCTTTTATAACGTCAAAGCTGTTGAAGACAAATAGTGACAGTATAACGAGGTTTTATTGTTCATCGAATCAGTGATCGAGACAAAATACCAATTTTACTGCACCATTTTAAGAAAACCCATCATTGGCACTAATGGTGTATAGAATGGACATACGTGTCTCAATATGTGTAAAGAATTAAATAGAACTACACCTAACAGTAATGTTCTTCACACATTTTCCTCGTCTTTTATCATTCATTTCTTCTTTTGGAGAAACGCCCAATTAATACCCTCGCAGTTAAAGGTTTGAAGGATTGTAATGTGGTCAAGTTATGTTACATTTAATATTTTATATGTGTTTTTCTTCCAATAGGACAATGTCAATGAAACATGATAAGTTTTACCGAAAACTTAAATAATTAACGTTTTGAGAAAGAAAAATATTACTTAAAGCTTTATATCTACATTTACAACAATTATGAAACAAGTTATTTCAACTGATATTAATCACTCTTGTTGGCCCGGATGTTACCGCGCGGTGGTCTTAATGTGGGAGTAAACCGGAGTACCCGGAGAAAACCCACGTCGTTTGGCAGGTGACCCCATACCTTTTGAACCCGGCCGCCTTGGTGAAAGGCAAGTGCGCTATCCACTGCGCCACCCGGACACCTTAAAATGTGATGGAAAGATCACTCGTCATTTATCTAAGGAGGACCATGTTGTGGAAATGTACAAATCAATCATGATCGATAAAGCTTTGGAATATATAATATATTGTACGTTGCTTTTCATTCTTTTTTGGTCTTGTCAAGAACGTCAAGATTTTATAGTAACACGATTCGTATATTGAATGATATCATGCGTTCCAAAATTTTTGATGAAATTGTTGTATTTTGTTTGTCTGGGATATAACGTCACCGAAACAGCTTACGGTAAACGAGGACTGGTTTCAAGACAAGTATCGCTGAAAAGAAATATTAAAGATGTGGAAAAGGGAAAAGTAATTGTCGGAACAAAGCCCATTACATACCAAATATCACGGCCTTTCTTATTCACAATATAAATTAACTGGTATACAGGTACCTCACACAGGTAGCTTTCGATTTCAGCAATACACAAGATTCTAACATTACCACCAATAATCCGTCCTTAAATGACTATAGCTGTTGATAGGACGTTAAACAATACTAAACCAAACAAAACCACAAACAATAGCTTATGTTGAAGTTTCACCTCTGATTGAAACCGAATGTTGATCTCTGGTCTTCAAACGGTTTAGGAGAAAAATGTTGCGCAGTGACGATCTCCCAAAAAAATGCAAAATAAGTTAAGTCGATACCCTAAACGGTTTTTGGAATTTAATGGCCTAAAGAAATTTTACATTTTTCGACAGTTGCTCTCGGTGATAATGAAGAAAATTCAAGGTAATCCTAATGTTTTACACTGGTTGTTATATAGGCATGATCATTACTCTATAGTTCATTAGGAGCTTCAGAAGAAGTTGGATACAGTATCTGTAACGCAAAATAACATTTTGGGAAATTTTATCCCTATCGGATGCTGTTAGTAAATATCTTGTTAATCAAAGATGTTTTTAAAAGACACTTAGGCGTTGCGCGTAGCTGGTCTGCATTATCACCGTTGCTACGCCACTTTCGGTCGTAGGCCAAAATAGGAGGTTTTCCAATTTGCTTTCAGGTGTGGAATTAATAAAAGAAAAACAGTTTTGTGAATTTAATTATTTTTTATTTGTCTATCTTTCTTTACATGGAAAAACGCACCGCTTTAGTTACTTTTTAAGGCTTCATGTGTTAACGAGTTATTGTGGATATAAACAAAACCCACAAAAACCACAAAAAGAAAGTCTGTTAAATGTTTAGATAAAAAGCCGTTATAATAGGAAACATATCAAATGCAATATTCTTTATTTTTCTGTGGTTGGAAAGACTTAATAAACCTAGCACATTCTTTAAATAACATCAAACAAAGCCGAGTCGCGCCATTTTAATGACAAAACGACTGAAGAAACAATTAAATGAATTATATTTGATAAAACTAATAATCACACATTTATTTTAACCAAGTTTGACAGGAGAGTCCTTAAAACAAGCATACTGAGTATTGCGAAAGCAATAAATGTCCCCTACCGGCCCCCGCTAGCTATTGGTGCCCTTTGGGGTTAATTTGGGATAATGAAAAGTATACAATAAGCTTGTAAATGATTTTTATGTAATAATAATACAAGAAATTGTAATGTTAGTATTATGATAGAGGAATTATATAAAATAAAATGATTGACAATCCTAAAACTCAAACTTGTTCGAGATATTATGGTCCTTTGTAATTGTATGAAGTTTGATCCAAATCCCTCAAGGAATGAAGCCACTAGAGTGCTGACAAACATTGGTGTTACGTACGTACGTACACAGACGGACGGAGAGGAAACCCATATTCCCCCGGTTTCACCGGTAGGGGACTAATACATCAATAGATTTACTGGTGAATACGTCAAACGGTTAATAATTGATATGTGAACCAAAGTGTACATCACTAAAATAAACAATACAGGCGTGTATGGTGCATTGCTAGTTAACCATAAACATGTCAGTAACGCCCCAGTAACCTTTAAAATGCGTGCTTTTAGCCGAAAATAACATATCATTTCATGTACAAACAGCATTATCTTAGTTTTCTTTTAAAAAAAACCGCGATGCATTAATTATTTAACACAAGAATGATGGAGAAAACAGACAAAATAACCGATGTGCATGTTTGTATGATCACACGTGTTTCGCCATGACGTGTCAAGTATAAAGATACGAACACTGTAAGAGGAACTATTACCTTATCATCCTCGATTACTCCAGGGGTTCGCTCACTTACGCTCTCTGCACCCCTGGAATATGTCAAAGCAAACTTGAAGGTACGCAACTATCTATTTGATTGGATTCGGGTAAAAATAACCCAAAAAATCGATAGGCTGATACCTGTCCTTTGAAGATTACGTAGGAGCGACATCCAACTTCAAAGCCAATCAATTTTACCTTCACGCTTTTGAAGTAAAAAACTAATCAAACTAGTCTTCTTGTCCCAATAACTAGGTGGCGCACACTGATCCTTCAATTTTGTTATGACATATTCCAGGGATGCAGCGAACGTAAGTGAGTGTCACCCTTGAAATATCGAGGATGGTACCTTAATCTTATATCATCAGTAGATAAATTATATCTCTGTTTAGACAATTTATCTTATCACTAAATACGGTATATTAGTAATTAGTTTGTCTTTTTTAACAGTATTGCAGTCGGATTGATTGCCATAATACGGACTTGTTGGGAAAGTACCGTTAGGCACCTCTGTATTGATCATTCTCATTAAACCTCAACGTACTATATACTTTAAGCAACATCAACTGGACTGACATAAAAAAAGCAATACTAGGCCAATAAAAATTATGAACACTGTTCGTATCGTTGGATCAAGACAACTAAACGTTATGAATTGTTTCTAGAAGGTGAGTTACAATTATGAAGTGAATATGAAAATACCAAGGGGTCTGAAAATATTGCTACAGATGCCATCATTTTCATTTGTATTTTGAAGTAATGTTTTCAACACAGTTTTTAACTAAAAAAAATAAGATATATGTAGCTGAAAGTACATATTTTCATGAAGAATTATGTGAAATGCTTTAAATCAACCACTTTTCTGGTGATTTTCACTGAATATAAATGACTGATATATTTTGTCCGGTTAATTTCCTAAATATCCCGACATTAACACCCATCCCTCTCTGGTCCAAACTTTTCACACATTTGAATTTGTTTCTCTTAATGATTTCGCAAGTAAAACATAGTTCAATTACACATTTTTAAATAAATTAAATTGGAAAAAGCAAAGTCACATCCCGTCAGTTTTGCCTTATTCGTGCAATTGTGACGTTGCCTAGTAGTTTCCTTATTACATTGTAGCTAGATTGACCATGCATCATACTAGTGAATTATATAAACAAATCGAATCTAAACTTAATGTTTAAGTTCTATTTGAATTAGTTCCATTTATCTGAAGATTATATTGTACAGATTGCGGTAATAACGATTTTGAACCACTTAAAACCATCGATCTATATACTTGTAGGATGTGTGATAAAAACAATGTTATACTGAATCTGTGTGGTGGTGTTTCAGTACAAAGGCGATGCCGAAGCAGTTTGATACTTTGTAGTAGGTGAGTTGATGGGTTTTACCTCCGATACAATACCACAAATTGATTGGGGATTGGAATATTTGCATAAACCTGAAATGAACTTGATGAGTATTTACTTAATTTCTATCGCGTCTTTGAATGATATAACTAGTCCAGAATCTCTCGTTGTTGATACACATACACTGAACCACAGACAGTAGTCAGTGCACAGATCTATCTGCATCGAAAATATAGACAAAACATAATAGGTTCCACTAGTATGAATACATATCGAAATTTGAAACCAATAATTTGTAGACTACGTAATGTAAACACCGTGAGAGAAGGAGCAGAGATGTTTCGTTCTTCATGCTTAATAGTAGCAACCCCTATGATCATGTTATAAGTAAAACTTGAGATAAATTTCTCTTGTAAAAGAGCATGAAGTGTCCACAATTAAAAGGTCCAATATATCCGTCGGGATGGTCAAGAAAGGACTTTCTTCTTATTGACAATACCACGTCGATATAATTGAAAGTGAGACAAAAAGAATACGCAATGTCTTTGT